TTTCTTTGCTTTGTTTTTTAGATTCCACATATAAGTGAAATCATATGGTATTTGTCTCTCTCTGACTTATTTCACTTACCATCATACCCTCTAAGTCTATCCCTGTTGTCACAAATGGCAAGATCTGATTATTTTTTATGGCTGAGTAATATTCCATTGTATGTATATACCACATCTCCTTTATCCTAGAATAGGGATCCTAAATGAGAGGAGATGAGATTTTGTGCCCAAGTGCACAGGGGGACAGTTCATCCATAATACGAGGGAGGAGACAGCAGAGTAAAGGGACACAGAGGCAGACAGGAGGGTAAAGGCAATAGTGGGAGGTTGTGGGATTTCTCTTCTATGTTTTCAGTTCATTTTTAACCTCAAAATATGCTTAGTTAAACATATGTATTCAAAGATTTTTATCTGAGCTTTTTTGGGTAGTATCCAACAGGTAAATATAATCACCATAACATATGTTATTTAGTGTCTTGAATACAGTTTATCATAATTGAATTAAATTGTTAGTATTTATTTTTCTTAATTAGGTAGATATAATGTGTGTGTTTCAAAATGTGATGGTTCTGTGATAATTTATTGTCTGGACTGGTCAATGAGCAAAGAGCACAGTTATTATTTACCATCACAATAGTGTCTTCTAGGTGGAATGCTTTACTCTTAGATGTTTCAGGAAAATTTCTGTAAATTAAAACTACAGAAGATACTTTGCTCAACAAATTGCAGTCTAATTCCATTCCATAAAGGCTTTCTGATACTACATCAGAAAGGATACAGTAGAGTCAAGTTGAATGTCTTCATGACGGCGAATCTTCTCTTTTTGCAAATCTATCTCCATAAACGCCTTCAAAACGCAGCTCAAAAAGGCACATTCTCCCAAAAAAGCTTTCCTGATGAGCCCATTCAATCTCATTCGCTCATGTACTCACTGTTCTCTCAATGCCAATTTTCTAAAGTTAGAGGCCATTAATTTATATTGACTGATGGTTTCACTTCAGTGTTCTCCTATGATCTTTACGAGGACACAATCTATCCTACTTTTATTTAGACCCTAATTACTATTCTTTTAAAAATAAACAAACAAACCAACATTTATGACAGTGAGCTAAAGGGACATAATAGATGGTTTTTTAACTCCCTGATTCTTACAGGAAGGGTTCTTAAAATGAGTCTGAGCCCATCCTATCCCCCGATGATTACTGATTTTTTTCCCTCCTCAATAAATTCTTATTATTGTATTTACAGGTACATGCTAAGATTCCCCACAGTTAAACAAAGAAAGATGTTCTTCTCTAAAATGGAAGGAATTTTTAAAAATCAGAAGTCCACAGGTAATATTCTCTCCCTAGTACTATATAGCGTTGAAGAAGACAGAAGCGAGGCTCAGGCCAGAATTTTCATTTAGAAATGTTCCAAACTGTCTGGACAACGAACATACCTGATTCCAAACATACAGTGAACATAGTTGAATAAAGCTCTGCGCAGCATGGTGGTATCAACGTCCTCGTGGGTGGCCATAGTGTTATAGGTGAGATTGTAGACCATGCGAAACTTCTCATCAAGAAGGTGTCCAATGTCAGAATAAAGTCTGTTCACCAGGGAGAACCCATGATTTTCCCAGGTATAGTCCTAAAAGGAGAAGTTGTATCCAGTTGCAAAATGGTCACTCTCCATTTACACTGTGTATTTTTATTAAATATAATTACTGAAGCAAGTACGTGAACGTATTTCAACTCTAATTCTAAGCTGACAGCTCTACGAAGAACCTTTCACATCGGTCTGTAGATGAGAGTGCCTCCTCAGTGGGGACCACGGTTTGACATGTTGGGATGAACTCTGGCCACCTCCTGTAGTCAGGTAGGATGCAAACGACACCCTTATCTGGAAGAACACCTTCCAGAATGCTGGAATATTCCCACGTGACCAAAGCTGCTCAGTGACACAATCAGCAGATCACGTGGACAAGTGCCAAGGAGTCTGTCTTAATTCAAACTTACACTCTTGTTAGGAGCCATATCGCTATGGTGGCTCCGTTTTGTAGGCGTGGGAGTAGGGTGGTGCTTGAGCCCAGAGCTACCGGTGGGTGGGTGATCTTATTACAAAATGCCATTTTATTATAAATGGAACTTTAATCGCTTGATTTCCTCCCTGCTCCTCTCCAAGAAAAACAAAATGGTATGAACATTATACAATTACCATGTAATAATGCAAGTAACTGAACAAGACAGATTCCTTTCGCTTTCTCAGAGGGGGAAACATAGAAATAATAAAATAATAAGCTGTCTACTGGGAGATCAAATTAGACTAGGCTAAAAACAAGGTTACGTAAAAGGATTTACGGACTCTATCAAAATGACCATTAATTTCTTTAGAAGTCAATGGATTTACATTTCAACATTTCACAGTTAGAGGACAGTATTTATTCTCTAGTTCCTCTGAACGAAAGGCATCTTCTACCTGAGCTCGGAATGTTGGCAAATGCTCTTCTCCTCGTCTGGCAAAGTCCTCATACCCAAAACCAGGGTCTTCAATGTATCGGGAGACATCAGATGTTATAACCATGTCATCTTCAAAATCTAAGGGCAACAATGAACATTCTAGTATAAAGGAAACTATACAGATCAATGCAACTGTTCCATTTCCCTCCACCTTTTAGCTTTTCCATGGATTTCTGAAGTGACAATATTGACTTTACGGCTTAAGTTTTGGATACAATTTCATTACCAAAACAGAGGCAATCAGCATGTAAGTGTAGTTGTCTGGGCGAGACAATGACTACACTGAAATATCTAAGCAGCAGTGGCAAAGGATCAATACACTAGTTTTACTAGCGCATATAAATGGAGTATAAAGCTTAAACGTTATTTGAACTCAACGCGGGATGAAGAGGGAAAGAGAGGAGGTGAAGGGAAAAGACCACTTCAGTGGAGCTTAAAGTTAAGGTAGATTTTGTTAAAATTTGATGGTGTTTCATCTGGATGTGTGCGTGGTAAAAATTAGTGCAGTGTAGTTTATGATTAGCTCACCAGCCGGCATTTATGGAGAGGGCCTCGGAAGGGAACTCAGCAGGGAGGAAAGTGGCCTTTTTGGGTACCACTGTTATAATTCTTAGTTGACTTGGGTGCTAAAACAGGAAGATTCAGTTTGGGAAAATTCACTGAGTTTTACACCTAACCTATGTGTGCTTTCCTGTGCATGTGGAGATAAAAAAAAAAAAGCTTGCATGCATCATAGGAAGTAAACAATGTGTTGATGAGATTGTGATTAAAATATTATAAACGTGGCATTCAGGAAGATAGACTACAAGAATCTTTAAGACAGCTGGCTTCTGCATACTTGATAAGAGTAAAAATTTACCACTGAAAAATTTTATTTCATTTTTTAAAGTTTATTTATTTTAAATAAGAGAGACAGAGAGAGAGAGAGAGAGAGAAAGAAGCAAGAGAGAATCCCAAGCAAGCTCCACACCATGAGCATGGAGCCTGATGTGGGGCTCGAACTCACAAACCAGGAGATCATGACCTGAGCCGAAGTCAAGAGTCAGATGCCCACCCAACCGAGTGCTACCCAGGAGCCCACCACTGAAAAATTTTAAATGCTCAGTGCATGTTCATTTGGTGTAAAAACAATTCTCTTCTAACTCACTTTTTTTTTAGGTTAGTCTGTCTTCATACTTTTTTCCGATTTCAACCACTGAAAGGGAATGAGCTACCTTTATTTACTACCTTCTACTCTAGAAAGTGAACATGCTCTTTTCAAAATAAGAGAAAAAATACTCCTTCCATGCAAAGACCAATGTTTTCTTATTACGTTATTTTAATCAGTATCAAATAAATCTAATACTTAATAAGTAACTAATAAACAAATATTAAATAGCTCCTAAAACAATTTGATGGCATAAAAAAACTAATTCTTAACCAGACAGTCTTGAGAAGCTTAAATAAACAAGGGCAATTATAGTAATGCATCCAGAAGATGTGGTCAATTAGTACTGCCTTCATTATCTTTAATCTCTGTTCTTTTGTGAAAATCCTAGCAATAATTATTCTTTCCTTACAAGCTTTAACCTTTCCTTAGGTCACTGCCATGGCCTAATGGGTGCTTGATAATGTCAGGAGAGATCAAGCATCCAGGCTACCCAACTTTGGAAATATTAAAATTCTTACCTAACTTCTTTATTATACCAAATGAGAAGAGACTGGCATTTGTTGAGGACTTACTATATACAAGGTACTATGCTATGTACTTAGTATCTATTTTTTGTTTGTTTGTTTCATTAATGCAAAAAGAAGTCCCTCCTTAAGAAAAAAGTAAACTAAGTGTCAGTTACACCACTGTCAGTAAGAAATACCATGCGGATTCATTTAGGAGGATGTGGAAAACTTGGAAACCCTGGACTACGTAATCTGATCTGAAGCTTTCAAGTGACTTTCCGTTTTCTAAAACAAAATCTCAGACTTATCCCTCGCCCAACCCACAACCACTGCACTGTCTCCTCCTGTTGCACAACTCTCTTCGGGTAAATGGAAATACTTTGAAAATGGCATTTTCGATCCTTTATCTCTTAACATTTACGATTGATGTTAGGCTTTCCTTAAGTCAGTCCATCACAGACTAATCAATAGAAACGAGGCAAAAAATTAAAAATTTGCAGCGATCACTGCAGTGCTAGGAAAACGAGAAGTTTTGTGGGTTGTGAAGTAAAATCAAACCAAGAACAGTGAGTGATAACTAAAGTGTGTAAAACAGTTTCTCTCCTGACGTGATCCTTCCACCCACACTGCACAACCAGTTGGGTTTCATTTGGCAAATACCGATACCAGAGTTGACCATTACACAACTGGTTCATTTGATGGTGATGTTAGTTTTTGTTTTGCTCATACGCATTTTCAAAGTTGTCGTATGCCTTTCAACGTTTTTAAATAAACAATGAGTAACTAAACAAATAAGATAGAATTTATCCTATGAATAATATCCCTTTATTCATTTTAAAATTAGGAGTTAGGATGCCAGGGTGGCTCAGTCAGTTAAGCATCTGACTCTTGACTTCAGCTCAGGTCATGATCTCACGGTTGGTGGGTTCAAGCCCTGCATCAGGCTCTGCATTGACAGTGCGAAGCCCGCTTGGAGTTCTCTCTCTCTCTCTGCATCTCTCCCTCTCTGCCCTTCCCCTACTTGCTCTCTCTCTTTCTCTCTCACTCTCACTCTCAAAATAAATAAACTTAAAACAATAAAAAATTTAAAAAAATAAATAAAATTAAGAGTCAATCAAAACCTGTTTGTCGATTTCATCCACGGAAAGAAATGTACAAAGGTCTCTCAAACTACAAATGCTTTTTCTCTAAATTTATTTCGAGAAGTTAAAATTAGTACTCTGATCAACAAATCTAAACTCCAATTTTAACTCTATCTAAAACAAATATTTCAGTCTAGACTCAAAGGAAATAGTATGTTGCACACAGGCTGGATTCATCTGCCCCTAACAGAACACAGAAAACACTCTATTACAGTAGTGGGATGGCTTTCTAACTTGAGAAACAAAAAAAGAATAAAAGCTAGTTAACTCGGTTACCAAGCTATAGAATACCACCTCTGTAGAACATTTTAAACATTTTCTTCAAAAGGCTTGAAAAGCTATTCTTAGAATCTCCACATGGAATCTGGAATGCTTTATCACACTGGTCAAACCAAGAAATTCATTACAGAAAAAATATAAATTTCTATTTCCATTTTACAACATGGTTAAGGTTATAAAAATGACTCCATAAGCCATTGTACAGAGTCCTTTTGCTGTTACCTTTGTGGGACTAGCAAATGTGATATTGGGAATGGTTAAGAGTAAACAACAAAATGATTTCTTTCCCTGAATGATTTATAAATGATACAGCCTCTCTTGTCAAAACTAGAACATAATTTCTGGCTAGGATTTAAGACTTGCTAGTAAAAATTCACTGCAGAAGGCAGAAGTCCCTGCTCAAGGGTCCAAGAAGGCAGAGGCTGGGGTCCAGAATGTATCTTCAATATTAAAAACAAAACCGATGAAAAGAAATAAAATATTTTTATCCTTCAAGCTCTAGTGATGTTAGAGAGGCTCTTAAAAGTTAATGTCTGGGGGCCCATGGGTGGCTCAGTTGGCTAGGCAACCGACTTCGGCTCAGGTCATGAGCTCACAGTTCGTGAGTTTGAGCCCTGCATCGGGCTCTGTGCTGACAGCTCAGAGCCTGGAGCCTACTTCAGATTCTGTGGCTCCCCTCTCTCTACCCCTCCCCTGCTCACGCTCTGTATCTCCCTGTCTCTCAATAATAAATAAACGTTAAAAAATTAAAAAAAAAGTTAATGTCTGAAAGCAAATAGATATTACTAACCTTAATAAAAATGTTTACATTTTAAAATATTGGTTTACCTAGAAGGTTCACCCTAAGTTTATAATTTTCCTTTGTTCCATGTATTCTCTCTGGATGGTTTTTATAAATAACTCTTTTGATTTTAACTCCCAATTACATGCCTATAACTTCCAAAATTTCATCCTAAGTTTAAAACCCTCTCCTGGGGGCACCTGGGTGGCTCAGTCGGTTAAGCATCTGACTCTTGATTTCTGCTCAGGTCATGATCTCATGGTTTGTGGGTTCAAGCCCTGCCTTAGGCTCTGTGCTGACAGTGGGAGCCTGCTTGGGATTCTCTCTCTATCTCTCCCCCACTTGTGTGCACGCACACGCTCTATCAAAATAAATAAACTTAAAAAATTAAAAAAACAAACACACAAATCAAACCCTTTCCTGACCCTCAGACCATCTGTGAGCCCCTTCCTACTCAGGTGTGGTTTGCAGACTGGCAGCACTGACAGGACTTGGGGGAATTTTAGAAATGTGGCCTCTCAGGTCCTAGCCCAGACTCACTGAATCAAAATCGGCATTTCAACAAGATTCCCCCAGGGACTCACATGCAGTGAAAGTCTGAGAAGCAGTGTACTGGACATCTCCAGACCCCTTAGCTCAAAATGTCCCAAATATGGCAGACTGCATGCTCCTGAAGGTTAGAAAGGTCATCACGATAAGGCCTCTGTTTACCTACCCGGCTTATGTGATGACATTACCTACATCATCACCTCTGCCCTAACAACACAGAACCACTTGTTCCTGTGCCCGGCATCCTGTTTCCTTACCATCATGCCTTGGCTCAGTTGACTGCCACCAACCCCCTTGCACTCAAGTCTCTTAGAGCCAAATGGCTGGAGGAAGTCTTGTAGGGCCCCTTCTGTGCACGTTCCTCTCCCACCAACAGTGGATTCAGGGCCCTCTCCTAGGCTCCTATACTGTTCACATTCTGCTACATATTGAAATTGTTTCTCTCCCATCAGCACTGGGAGCTCCCAAAGGGTAGGAGTTGTGTCCTATTTAGCCTGAAAGCCTTAGCTCCCGCTATAGTGCCAAGACCATCTAGGGAACTCAAGGCATGTTTGTAGAATGGATATTAAGCTAATACCTAAAACACCATGTTTCTTTACTTGGGATTTCCTGCCGCTTAGAAGCTCTGAGAAACTAGAACTTAACATACTCAATTTGGTGGATAAAATCTATCATAAAAAAGATCGTCAGGGGAGATGATAAAAGGGGTTTTTGTTCTTTCTGGCAAAACTTCTGAGAACTACTGGTCAGTGCTATGTTTAACAAGCAAGTTATGTTTAACAAACAAGTTATGGCCAAATCAGTTACCCTTGGAATTTATGAGACTGGGCTTAAGACTAAAAATTTTTTAAATCAATGGAACTCTTATTTTTAAAATGTGATGTAGATTGATGACTTTGAAGGGTTTCGGCTTTCTACCAAGTCGATGCTATTTTAATAACATTTACTATGTGGTATTCAACATCTTTTTTAGTCATAACTGAAAAGTCTCCTAATTCAATGTCTCTGAGAGTATTAGAAAAAAAAGTACATTTTTAAGACTAGAGCAAAGAAGCCTAGCTTTTAATACAGAATGAATTCCTCCTTTTAAAAGAGAATGAATTCCTCCAAATCCCATATAAGAAAATGACCTAAATAATACATTTTTATTAAATTCTGAAGATTTCTCCAAAGAAATCTTGCAAACGCAAGTACAATGTAATTTTAGAACTAATGTGGAAAAGTAACAGTGCGAGAACAATCCTCCCACATGCTCCCCACGCGCACACAAAAAAGGCAGAGATGTATTATAAGAATGTTATCTATTGAAACAGGATTTCACTTATCACTTGAAAACATCACAAAAGTAGAATGAATCAGGTATCTCTTAACTTTCTAAGCAACTGTTCTGCTTTTAATAACATTTTCTGCAGGACAGAGCGCGTCCTGCAAAGCTGCAAGTTCCTGTCAGCTGGACCTGGGGTGCATTGAAAGACGCACGAACCTAACGGGAGAGCACCAGCATTCAGGCAAGGTGGAGGAGGAGGCCTACAGAAGAGGAACATGGTGGTCGCAGGGTCACTTCTACATGTCTATATGAAAAATACCGAAGGTGGTCTGTCAGGGATACAGGAGGTCAAGGGCAAAGACAGTGGGGGCTTGGGCAGAAGCACACCTGAATGAGGAAATGAATGAAAAGTATCTCCAGAGACCACAAAAAGACTTTCTTTCTTCTCCTTCTCAAAGCGAGTGGTCATTTCTTCCTGAGATGCCTCTTCATCTTCCCTTTCTTCATGAAGCCTTTTCATTCTTTCCATTAAGGCCTCTAGCTCGCTTAGAGAATCTACAATCTGGAGCCAGGAAAGATCATGTTGGGTGTTATTAAGAATTATTCTAGTACATGTCTCTGTCTCCCAATGTCACCTTACTATGTACAGTGGCACGGGCACAGTTCAGGCGGGTTTTAACTCCAAAGGGAATCAAATGACAGATTTCAGACATTTTCAGAAGTATGATGTTTCTGCCTCAGTTGCAAACACAGAAAATTGATAAGTATAGATATATTTAATCTAGAATTCTAGCATTTGGTATATATTATAGTTTATTTTAAAAAATGAGGCAGCCTTATGATTTGTAATAATATCTATTTGCTTTAAAAGCCTCTTAAGACAATTCAGAACTTCGTGTACAGGTTGCATTTTTACAGTAAGAGAAACTGTACAAAAATATTTCAAGTATATGATATCCTGTAGAGTCCGACCATGATTTCTTTCTAGATATTTTTAACATTGGGAAATTTAAAGGCAAAATAGTAAAGAAAAACAAAGTTCAGAAAACTGACCCCGAAGTTGCTGCCTGTAAGGGATGCGTTCTCTATGCTGTTGTCATTAGCGAGATCGCAAACACAGAAATTGTTGACTGATATTAGCCTGAATCCGTTGGAGATTTCTGGATCTCTCTCTGGATTGATGCCACTACCAAAAACAAAGCTTGCCAAAGCATGATAATGTGCCAGTAGGACCACCGCATGTACCAGTTCGGGCAGAGACCAATTATTTTCTCCAGTTTTGACAAGTTTCTGAAACGAGAAAAGCAAATCAGAGTAAAAATGAAAATCACAGAATGCTACAAAGCAATTTTGGAAAGCATGAAAAATCCGCCAGTTTTATGCCCATTTATAGTAATCAAACATAAAACTCCCTTTTGAAAATGTTTCACATAATAAAGATATGGCTTTGGCCAAACAATATTGCATTAAACTGTCAAACCTAACAATATAATTCTGTGGCAGATTCTTCTAAATCCCTTATACGCTCAATGGAACTTCTGCTTCCAAAGCACTTTTACATGTTATGTGGTTTTCATAAGATATTTCAGAGAATCAAAGAACACGGAAGCTAGAAGGGACTTTAGAGATGATCTTGCAAAACCATTCATTTTAAGGTTTTTAGGTAAAGACTTTTACCTTAAAAGTCACACAAAAAAATCCAATTCAGTAAGGCAACTTTGTTAGTCGTCTTTTAGATATCTTTCCTGATGGAGAAAGAGCCTATGGCAGATGATAGAAACCATACCTCACCTTTGAATAAGAACTTCAAAAGTTTCAGAGCACTGTTTCGTATGTTATTTTACTTCATCCTCCAGCTGAATGATGGAATCACAAGTGAAGCCATTAAAAACAGTGATGCTTCCATCCCCATTTTCTCCGAGAGCCAGTTCCATCTGGCAATCCACTGGGGATTCTTTCCCATCAGTGTTCTTGCTCTCTTGCTTGGGGTACATGTCTGTGTCCTGCTGCTCCCCACGAACCTAAACTTTAATTTTGCTCACTTCACAGCCAACCCCCCACCAAAACCTCTTTTGCTTTACTCTCCATTAACCACACACACACACACACACACTCACACACACACGTTCACTCACACACACACTCACACACATGAAATTTAATATATTACCAAAGGCTCAGGAAAAAGGAAAAATTAATCACAATCTACCATTCTAATATAGTTTTTATGTATTTTATTTTATTTTTATAAGCATAACTATGTCATCAGAGGATACCTCTATTTTGGGGGGACTCACATTTTGACATGTTCAATTTTCACGAGGCTCCACGGTCTTACGTTAAGCGTGGGCCATCTATCGCATGGCAGTGGAAATATGGAACTACTTCTCCATCTTGGAATACCCTGTCAGATCCTCAAATTGCTTCAATTTTTTTGTGTACCTGTTATTATAAATAGCATCTTCATGCTACAGCTGTGTTCATATTCTAGAAACAACTCCCAATAGGACTTTTAGGGCAATTATGATGTGAAGACTTTTGCTAATGCTGCCAAAGAGACTTCCAAAAGGATTGGTAGAATTTACAATGCCTTTGTCAGTCTTCTCCAAGACTATTAAACCTGAGAGGACAGACAGCCAACACTCATCACCTCGAAATTCGCATCTCACATTCATTTCTGTATCTTTAGTTCATTAGAACCTGCTTTTTGAAGCAAGCTCCAGAAGCTACTTTCACTAAGGGCACATATGACCTCCAACAGGGCAGATCTATTTCTTTTTTAGCACGTGTCCTATTTGATCTCTGTAGAATTTATGTTTTCCTTACTTCCTCCCTTGAAATTAACCTCCCTTGCCTTCAGCACTTTCACTAATTTGTTCTGCACCCTGTCTACCCTGCGATGCATGTCTCCCCATCTCCCTCCCAGCCCCCTTCTTCTTCTGCTTGCCTCTGAAATGCTCTCTTCTACCCATGATCTCCTTTCCTTGTGCAGTATCTCCCCGGAAGGATCAGCCATTCATTCAACTTGATCTTCACTTATCTGTAAATAACTGTCTGATTTTATTTCTAATCTATCCTTTATCTTTTTTTTTTTTTTTTTTTAAATCTATCCTTTATCTTGAGTCACAGACCTGTGTTTCCTCCGGTAACTGGACATCACTAAACGGATGTCACAATCTTCCATTCTCAGGGCTGCGTGTATGCCGTCCCGCTCATGGCACTGCCTCTTGCCCGGTCAGGAAGGTAGAAACCTTACTGATTCTCCTGTCTCACCCAGCCCCTCCACCCTCACATTCTATGAGTCAGCAAGCCCTGCTTTTTCTCATGCAGACTGCTTACATACAGTGTGATCGCTCCTCTTTATCTCTCCAGGGCTTAAAAAAAAGTCATCTCTCAAGTGGACTGCGGCAATGGCTTTATGACTGGCTCCCCTGTGTCTAGGTACACAAATGTACCATTTGTGATTTGTCTTCTGCACCACCACATACACTCATATTACAACTCAGCTCAAGAACCTTTAATGGTTCTTCATTCTTTATCCTAGGGATTCCCTAGGATCAACATCTTTTGATCACATATACTTCTGACAGTGCCAGTTGGAGGGGCCCAACCCCTGAGAGCACGTACATTTACGTATAAATTAAGACATACTAAAAAAAAATACTCATAAAGTACATTTTATATAGTTATAAAAATATACTGTACTACTAATATTGTAAAATATACAAGTAGAGGAACTGATTAAGGAGAGAATACATGTGCACACATGCGTGCATATACACGATTTCCTAACATTTTGAAGAACTGCCTTGTGTACCCCTGAGGTGACATAACATGACTCTGGAGAACACAGCTTTCTAAGGATAGGACATAAATTCTTTAGTACAGTATCTGCCGTGTCATAACAACATGCTCTCAATTCTTCCCATCTCTTACCCCCACCTCACATAACCTGCCTTTGATTCAGTCACCCAAAGCTATTGGCTACTTTCCCAACATAAAATGTTTCCATTGTCTGTCTGGAATACCTTCTGCTACCTGAAAATTCCCACTTACTCTTCAAGACCTCTCTCAAATGTTACCTCTTTCATGCAACTTCCTGGTCCCATTCTTTTTATTCATACCTTCATACACTACGGTGAGGTGATCATCGTCATTACCTCTCTTTCTTTCTTCCCCTAGATTCCAAGCATGGGTAAGGGCAGGGTCTCCCTTTTTAGACCCACCAAACCACAGAGCACCAAGTTATTCACATATGGCATAAAAATAATGATTACTTCTTCTATCTAAGTTACACATTATCAAATCAGAACATAAACTTCAGGACAGCATTATGTTTTCACGTGTTCCCAGACAGATATTCAAAAGCTACGAGTATAAAGAATAACCAAAGCTCCGCTTCGTTTAACTGGGGAAATAATTAACAAAAATGTAGTCTAATAAGAGTATCAAAAAAACCAAGAACATTTATATACGTTAGAAGCAGAGATTTTAAATACCTAAGACTTCTCTGATAGTAATTTCGATGACAGCTGCTAGGTACTGAATAGTTACCAAATGCCAAGCACAGTGCCGGGATATTGCATAATGGCCTCACTGAAGCTCTTTTCTGCTACCAAGTGCTCTAGTCAATTGCAACTCTGTTTCTGTTTCTCCTTTAAGCTGGTGGGTCCACGGAGCATTTCAGTGTTCACACCACTTGGCAAATCACTTTGTATTTGCAAAACTGTATCTTGCAAATCTCAAAATTATGAAATGTTAAGAACCAGAAAAGGGTTTAGAACTCATTTAATCCAGGCCCCTCATTTTACAGATGGGGGAACTGAGGCCCACAGAAGTGAATTCACTAAAGGTCACAAACATGTGAGAACCCAGGTATCCTAAACTGCCAGTTTATTTTCTTTGTTCCACCTCCTGCCTGAAAACAGAAATCAAGTTTTCTCTTGGCCACTCACTAAAGTACCCATAGAGCTAATTACTGATTACCTAAGGAGGCATATTCATCTGCACCTAAATTACAGACTTTCTACGTTTATCTCTTCTACATGCTGATATACTATGTTTAAATTTCTAATATGCAAGTATTTAAAACTAAGTCTTAAGCAAAAACAAAAACAAAAAAACCAACACCAAACAAACAAAAAAACCCAAAACAAAAAAGCTCTTAGTTAGAATCATTAGTAAACCTTCTTACAACCCAGCACTTGGTACCTGAATGTGCTCTTTCGTGATGAGCCAGGGTCGGTGTGCTAGCAGCTTATTTATTTCATTAAGATTCTTCAGTCTTTGTGGTACGTATTCCAAGCCATTCAACCACTCAGCAATCCCTCCTGTCTTTAAAAATTCATCCACATGCATGTTTATTAAGTAAGAACACTGATGTCTAGCTGCAGCCTAAAAGACAAAAAGAGTTCGGTGACAGAACCATCATGGTAAAAGTCTTAGTCTGCTATTTCTAAACAAATCATTTATTTGGCATTTAATAATTTTAACACCAGTAAATTCTTTTCTTACAGATTCCTCTTCCTTCTGAAACTTCTTCTATCACAATACTGCCATAGATTCCTGACTCAATACACGTGGCTGGTATCTGTATAAGCAAACACTTGTCACATGAAGGCAATTCCTTCCTCATCCAGAAGCTGGCACAGATCAACCTAGAATCCACTTTCTAGCTGTGTCAAGAAAATACATGTCCGTTTCATTATGGTAAGTGACATAAACTATATTCTACCTGAGACACAGTAAAAGCTCACTAACTTGTATTCTCCCCACTCAAGAAGGCAGGCTAATTTGGCCGTCTCTCTTACCCCGGCAAGATAACTGTGATTTCAGAATTATCTGTGCACATCAGCCCTACTGAGATAAGACTAAAGCCGGCGGACACTGTTCCTTCCTATGCAGTCAAAACCGCCAACCTGGGAAATCCATGCAAAGCAGACTTTTCACAGCTCTCTTCCCCAGGACTGCCTCTCAGCGAAATAGCACTGTTTGCTCTTTCTGTTTTCTGTATCTTGTTTATCTCTTAGTTTGTGATCATTCTAAGTCTGCCTTCGGCCTGACTGTCGTCAACACTGGAAGCCGGAATTACGGTCTCAGGCGTGTTCATCAGTCGACAGAACACAGAACGCTGCCCTTCTCTTGTTTAAAACCGCAGGGAGCGCATAAACAGGATCATCACGTTAAACTAGCCTGCTAACTCCCCAGCTGTTCTCCTACACTCTCAACACATGGCACTTGGGCCATGTCCCTCCTCTTTTTCTCCACTAACAGTCCAACTGTAACACTGTTTCTTTCTATCCTTCTCGCTCCTGCTGCCTACCATCCCGATTTATAATTCTCTCCCCACCCCCAGCGAAACATTAACTAGTTTGTACCAAGTACGATACTTGGCAGTGTTATCATCCATTTAAGAATTCTCTCATCCAGAGTCTCCACTGGTGCTGATACTTTCCTCTTCTTTGGCCAAATTAGTGATGCACTTCACGTATTAAACGGCTAAACAAGAGGTCACAACCAACCTGTTTCATATTCATAATAAAAACAAGGTGCCAGTAGCAAACCCCAAACTTGTGGGATATTAGGGCTATCGCTTTGGACCCTAGACGCATCATTAACAAGAGTTGAGACTGACACACTTAAATGAGAAATATTCAGTGCCTTAAGGAATTTGAAAGCAGTCAAAATGTATCCGAGAGACGGTGTCCAAAAAGCCACGGGCTTCTTCAATTCTTAGTTCTACAAAATGATACGGAGCTCTACACACACGAACACACACACACTAGAAGGGCGGAGAAGGAGCGCGCGAGGACGACGTCCCGCGAATCAGGAGACGGGGAACCCAGCGCACCATTATTGCGATGTAGTGCCGGTGCGGCAGAGGAAGGGGGCCGTCCATGCGCAGCATGTAGAACTGGCTCCGCAGGAAAGACTCCAGGTACTGAGCGTGCAAACTCATGACCTGTGTGATGTTGTCCAGGCGACCGGATGTAGAGTATTCTTCCACGAGAAAGTTAGTACGTTCATCCACTGTGTTTGCTTGGACAACCTAAACAGTCAAGAAACGCACAAAATGATTACGGAGAACTAACGTATCTTTCGTTGACCGAAATTATGCCACCATCGAAGCAAATGAATGTTCTTTTCCTATGAACAGACACTGAAATTACGCAGTTGCTCAGGCTAGAAACAGAAATTAAAAAAAAAAAAAAAAGCACCACTCTTTCTTGGCTCTGGGACCACCATTTATTAGACAACAAATGTCGAGTTATCAAACACTATACACACAGCTACGAGTCTGGAGAAAAGAAGCTTCCATCTGCTGCACCAGGCACATAAGGCAAAATTTTCAGGGCCCACTTGCCTAGCCGTTATTACACCAATTCGTGGTGAGGCGAAAGCAGTGGCGTTTGGTTCATGTATTTACAATTTTATCGCAACGGCCCACGAAGATACTTAATCACATAATCTTAAGGCAAATATTTTCGGTCTGATCTTTTGCTTGTTTTCGTTCAACATTAAATAAAAAGCTTTCTGAAGTTCTTTTAGGGACAAAGGAAAATATGATAATTTGTAGAAAGTGTTCATTGAAAAAATTAGTAAGGACACTAGAATACGGTCATTCCTATTTTCAGCCTATTGTTATTAATGACTACAAACAAGGTTAGTTATTAAAATGGACGTCCTCCATCCCAGGGAATCAAAAGAGCTTTCTCAAGAATAGATGAGTCCATATAGCTTTATACACAATGACAGCTTGGGCATCACACCAAGAATTGGCTCTGAAGGTGCTAAGAGCTTATCAGCACCTTGTAGAAGAGAGCTGGCTCTGTGGGAATTAATGGACATGAGATGAATATTTCTCTGATTGGTTCATTACTTACTGATACTTTAGAATTAGAATTCCAGACTTAAGAATACATTCCCCACTTTAGATTCAGAATGCAATTCGAGCTCATGCATCGAGTTAACAGCACAGCCTGGTCTAGAATCCAGATTTTCTGAAGTCCAGGCTAATGGTCTTTCTAAAGACCCATACTGCTATCAGAAACTCTGTTTACTCTTTAGGGCTGGCTTCACAGTCTCTTCTGAAAAAATAAGTACAAATTACACAAAGGCACTATTGACTGAGGAAAATGTAATCCCAAAGGAAATACAATGTTTGAAAAGTGTGAACTGTGAGGAAATGTTAATTACAACGGTGTAAAAAAGCAATTTCAGTTCAGCTAGTTAAAAAGCCACATACACTTTCATTTGCCCATTTCCCCACATTTTGTCAACTACAGGGACCAAGTGATGTGAACAGCAGTAAGATCTGGGTCAACCACGTGTCATTAAAAAGAGATTTGTTGGTTTGGTTTTGTTTTCCCCAGCAGTTTCTTTTGTTTAACTGATGCGGAAGACATTAATAGATGCAAGAGGTCCCGAAAACAGTGGTGGCTTCTGCAAACCAGATGACCTTCAGATACACAGCGTGAACACAGCTGTTTCTGGAAGTCTTTATGTATATGAGGCAATCACTCCGCCAAGAGCGGCCCCTACCCTGTCTGAGGGAAATGGGCACCGGCACAGCTGTCTTTCTAATGACTGGTCACTACCAAGATCAGCTAGAGATGCCGAGTTCTCCAAACATTACTGTTAACTTTCCTTTAACCTTTCCATTCAAACGGTAAGGTCACTAAAAAAGCAAAACGAAGATGAAGAAAAACTGACACTGGCCATGACCTGGTAGACATTCTTCAAATTCTATTCTTCCCTTCTGTTCAGAAAATGCCCCGCAGATAAGAGCTGCTCCGTAAACCATCTTTTTTGACTACTTTAAGAGCAGTATAGGAGTAACGCTGATGCTCTAAGATGAATGTCTTTGCAGTAAATAGTCAATCAGCATATACAGTCATATTCAGTAAGTTAATAACTCCTTCAAGCAGAGAAAAACTCCTCAATCAGGGGTTCTTAAACTTTTCTTAGCTCAAGTTTCTATCTGAGAGGCACCTAGGAATCTAGGAAGTCCTGCACATTGCTATGATCTTTCATAGAGATGTATATCCACAAAACAGGCACAAATCTTCTATTGGTTATAATTTCCTTTGCATTATGTTTTACAACCTCTCTTTCTTGCATTTACCATCTTGACTCCCCACCTTCACCAAACATACAGATTGTACAGATTATATTGACATTCCACCCGGAGACTTAGAACCAAAACAAAAGAGTAATTGCTAATGATGTAACAGCATGTTTTGTTTAATAGGTTTAGTTGGGAAACTCATATTTTCCATTTCAAAATATTTATTTTCTTAACATTTATATAACCTATATTCACCATGAAATGGTGGCTATTTAAAAACCCAAAAACCTGGGGCGCCTGGGTGGCGCAGTCGGTTAAGTGTCCGACTTCAGCCAGGTCACGATCTCGCGGTCCGTGAGTTCGAGCCCCGTGTCAGGCTCTGGGCTGATGGCTCAGAGCCTGGAGCCTGTTTCCGATTCTGTGTCTCCCTCTCTCTCTGCCCCTCCCCTGTTCATGCTCTGTCTCTCTCTGTCCCAAAAATAAATAAACATTGAAAAAAAAATTAAAAAAAAAAAACAACCCCAGAACCTTCAAGTTACTATTAAACTTAATTTAAAAAAAAACTTCATTACTGTTAGCAGCTTTGTTCAGAAAAGTTATATTTGAAATCAAATAGGGTAAAATTTAATTTTTCTAACCGCATAGGACAACTAACTCTAAAATAAAAAGGCAGATTCTTATACACATAAACTTGTAAGTGACATTCAAAAGAAAATATCTCTGTGGTTCTCTGACATATAAATAAGAAACAAGAGCAAAACACAGGTTTACTTCCATATTAAAAATGGAGAGGGGAGCCTGGGTGGCTCATTCGGTTGAGCGTCCACCTCTTAATCTTGGCTCAGGTCATGATCTCACAGTTAGTGAGATCGAGCCTCATGTCGGGCTCTGTGCTGACAATGTGGAGCCTGCTTAGGATTCTCTCTATCTGCCCCTCCCCTCCCCCCAAAATAAATAAACTTAAAAAAATATTTAAAAAAATGGAAATATTCTTTGATATAATGAAGTTGCTTTTTTGTGAGTCACACTTAATGTATTTTAACACAGATAAACTTACTTCCTTCTCTGGAATAAAGGCACTTGGTCCTCTTGTCAAGGGTTGAGACACTCTGATTCTTTTATCCTGTTTTTAAAAGAAAAGTTTTATGTATTAATGATGACTTTCTAAGGAAAGTTAAATTGGTACAGATTTATTGCTGAGGTACTCAACCAAATTGAATAAATAAATAGAATTATATAAAATCAAAATAAAGTTTAAATCTCAGATCCCAGAAAATCCAGCAATCGCACTACTGGGTATTTACCCAGAGAATACAAGAACACTAATTCAAAGGGATGCACGCATCCCTATGTTTATAGCACCATTACTTACAATAGCCAAGATATGGAAGCAGCCCCAGTGTCCATCCATTGATGGATGGACAAAAAAGAAGTGAGATATTTCACTGTGTGTATGTATATATATGTATACATACACACAGTGGAATATCATTCAGCCATAAAAAAGAATGAAGTCTTGGGGCACCAGGGTGGCTCAGTCGGTTGAGTGTCCGACTTCGGCTCAGGTCATGATCTCGCAACCGGTTAGTGAGTTTGAGCCCCGCGTCGGGCTCTGTCTGTGCTGACAGCTCAGAGCCTGGAGCCTGCTTCGGATTCTGTGCCTCCCTCTCTCTCTGCCCCACCCCTGCTTGTGCTCTGTGTCTCTCTGTCTTTCAAAAAATGAATAAACATTAAAAAAAAATTTAAAAAAAAGAACGAAGTCTTGCCATTTGCAACAACATGAATGTACCTAGAGAGTATAAATAAATCAGAGAAAGACAAATAGCATAAGATTTCACTCATATGTGGAATTTAAGAAACAAAACAAACATACAAGGGGGAAAAAATAAGAGAGAGACAAAACAAGAAACACTCTTAACTGCAGAGGACAAACCGATGGTTGCCAGAGGGGAGGGAGGAGGGGGATGGGTGAAACAGGTGATGGGGATTAAGGAGTGCACTTGAGACAAGCTCCCGGTGATGTAAGGGAAGTGCTGAATCGCTACAGTGTATATACCTGAAGCTAATAGGAAAACTGTATTTAACTAACTGGAATCCAAATAAAACTTAAAAACAAAAACAGATAATGGGGCGGGATACACAGTAGGCTTCTGAAATTTCATTTCCCTTGGTCATATTCCGTAGCACCAGAGATTTTTAGCCCGTTTTTGACATGACTGAAAACGGTCGGTCTCCCTAATAAAATCGTATCTGATATTATACTAGCGGACTGTTACACCTCAATCTGAGCTACAACGAAAGGTGGAATTCAGAGGATTGCTTGCGACTCCTCAGAGCAATGACCTGACCTGTGGGGGTTTTTCCTGAATAAGGCAGGAATAAATATGCCCAAGATAAAGTTGTGAAGCTTTAAGAAAAAATGTGAAACATGGAGAAGTGGAGGTTCACTTAATCCAAGAAACGGAGAGCACAGTGATGCTTAGTGCAACTCCTGCTACACTGAGAAGGAACTGGTAGACCGCCAATGGCGTGTCTGAGGGTTAGAGTTTTTCAAGTTAAAATATTTTTGTTAAAAAATTTTTAATTAAAAATATATTTGGTATCCCTATTTAAGTGTGATATCCACAAAGCCAGAACTATTTCAATCAGGTAATTATAACTTCTCTGCAGGCATGTTGAAGAGCAGAAATGGTCAGAGGGAGGCTCTCAAGTCTTTGAAGTCCTTCTTAGCCAGAAGGAGAGAGAGGAGAGCCACTTAATTTTCTATAATAAAAGCAATATTCTAAAGTTCTAAAAAAGAAGCCCTATGAAACTGCAACACAAAAATAGGGACTATGCTTACCCCACACACAAAAATTGTCTCAATATGGATTAAAGACTTGAATGGAGGGGTACCCACTCTTGATTTTGACTCAGGTCATGATCCCAGGGTCGGGGGATCGAGCTCAGCGTTGGGCTCCCTCTTTCTCTGCCCCTCCCCCACCTGCATGAGCGTTCTCGCTCTCTCAAAAATGAATAATAAACTTAAAAAAATTAAAAATAGAACTACCATATGATCTAGCCATCCTACTGCTAGGAACTTATCTGAAGAAAATGAAAACACTAATTTGGAAAGATATAAATACACCTCTATGTTTATTGCAGCATTATTTACAATAATCAAGATGTGGAAATAATCTAAGTATTCATGAATGGATGAATGGATAAAGATGTAGTATACTGTATATGACAATGGAATACCTTTCAGCCATAAAAAAGAAAGGAATCTTTCCATCTGTGACAACATGAATAGACCTTGAGGACATTATGCCAAATGACGGAAGTTAGACAAAGGTAAATACTGTGTGATTTCACTACATGTGGAATCTAAATGATAAAACAAATGAACACACAAAACCAAACCAAATTCCTAGACACAGAAAACCGATGGCTGACTCCCAGAGGGGAGAAGGGTGGAGAGGTGGGCAAAGTGGTGAGGAAGACAAAGAGGCACCAACTTCCAGTTATAAAACGAGTAAGTCACGGGGATCGATGTGCAGCACGGAGACTACGGTCAATAATATTGCATAGCAAATTTGAAAGTTGCTAAGAAAGTAATTCTTAAAAAGTTCTCATCACAAGACCAAAAAATGTGGAACTCTGCATGGTGACAGACGGTAACTCGACTTTTGCAATGTAGGTGAGCGTCGGATCATTATGTTGTACACCTGAAACTAACACAATGTATGTCAATGTCACGGTTGACAAAGATTATAAAGACTGCGTGGGAAATCAAACATGAGAACAGAGGTCTACTGGAAAAGAGTGTACTAAGTTTCAGATGCCACTAAGTCCTCCTCAGGAAACCTGTAAACTGAGGAAGCCACTCTAAACGGTTCCTTATGCAAGGATGGCAGTATCTAGTTCACGTGACCTCGTCTCCTGGCCACAGCAGACTAGACCAATCAACACAGAGGCTCATCTGCAGCCTACAGGTGCCTTGATGCAAAAGTTCTGCCCAAACAGAATTGAGGGTACTCAGCTGGACCACTAAGATCTAGAGTTGCTAGACTTGTATGAAAGGAATGCATTGTGACAGAGAGAAGAGCAACAAAATAGCACTCAGAAGCAGAGCAGAGAACACAAGAAGGAAGCATTAGAGGAGGCAACAATAGTACCTGCTTCCAAGGAGAACAGCACTAGAGTTTCTATGGAGTCACTAGAGGAAGTCAAGTCTAACCGTGGGCTCTCCTGTGTCTTTCTCCCTTCCTCCTGCCCCTTTCTCCCTCCGTGAGGTAGCCAGAATCTTTTTTATTCTTTACAATCAGAAAGCCTACCAAACACAAAATAGCTAATCAAATCCCTTACTTCAATCGCAGTTACAAAACAAACTGACAAAAGTAGGCGGCCAGGCATTCAATGAGTTTTTGAGAACCTAATCAGATACTGCGTCAGACTCGGGGCATACAGAGGAAGTGAAACAGAAAGGGTCCCTGCCCTCATGAGCCTGGCACACGATCCCCATCAATTTTCGGAATCGTATCAGGATAAATACATTGAGTAATGATCACCTAAACCTGCTCAAGTTTCAGAAAGGCATCTAGGCTGTATTTATCAAGTAATGATAAGCATATCGCAGCCTACTGGTCAAATACACTAGAGGTCTCCATGTAAAAAGGAGTGACTTAGGGGCGCCTGGGTGGCGCAGTCGGTTAAGCATCCGACTTCAGCCAGGTCACGATCTCGCGGTCCGTGAGTTCGAGCCCCGCGTCGGGCTCTGGGCTGATGGCTCAGAGCCTGGAGCCTGTTTCCGATTCTGTGTCTCCCTCTCTCTCTGCCCCTCCCCCGTTCATGCTCTGTCTCTCTCTGTCCCAAAAATAAATAAACGTTGAAAAAAAAAAAATTAAAAAAAAAAAAAGGAGTGATTTAGAATTTCTAATATTGGTATTTCCGGTCTACATCAACCACAATCTCGTTTTACCCAGAAAAATAATTTAAAAGAAAATAATAGCTTTCTTCCCTCTGCTAGCCTCTGTAAGTTATAGCAAACAAAATTTCAAATATTCTCTTTATAGTACAGCCTAATGCAGTCATACATGAAAAGTAATTTCCTTGATGACTAATCATTTCAAATGAAAAAAGCAGTTAAGAGACTGTGAGGACCAATCACAGGTGTGAGGGGGAAAATGCCAATGGGGACATGAGTGGAGGTTTTTATGTCCTTTAGAAATAATAAATAAAATTCAAAGAAAATATAGGGAAGGAAAAATAAACTAAAAGTGTACAAAGGGACTGTGGGAGACAAAGAATGATTTACTACTAATATGACTGGTTTCTAAAAATCACTATGTAATTCAGTTAATAAATCAGGTCATGATTTCAGGGTTCGTAGGACTGGGCCCCACAACTGGCTCTGCGCTCACAAGGCAGAGCCTGCTTGGGATTCTCTCCCCCCACTCTGCCCCTCCCCTGCTCACGCTCTCCCTCTTTGTGTGTCAGAAATAAAGAAACTTTATATAACAACAACAACAAGCATCCAGGACTGATTTCCTACCTCATTCATACCCCGATTAACTTTTCTGAAGTCCCTAGACCTGTGTTGCCTTGTAAGGTAGCCATCAGCCACATGTGACTACATCTAGATTAATTAAAGCTAAATAAAGTTAAAAGTACAGTTCCTCAGTCACACTAGTCACACTTCACACACTCACCAGCCACGTGTGCCCATGGCTACTGCAAAGGACAGTGCAGACATTCCCGTGTGCCAAGGCAGAAGGTTCTGCCAGACAGCACCGCCCTAGACTCTTCATTTACTTTTTTAAAATCACATCTTAGGCATTTTTAATGCCTTTTTGACACGAGAAATTATTTCTCTGCTGAGCTATCAGTTTGATGATCACACCTCCTCAATCCCATAACCAAGCATTTTAACGTAATTGCAGAAATGCTCTCAAATTAAGAGTGAATCCAGAGAAGGACAATTCAGGAAAAACACACAAAATCGGCCAGTTCCAAGAATTGTTATCTCCGTTTCTGTTTGTGTTATAGATCGTCTCCAGAAAAATAAAAACTGTTTCTCCCTTTCAAAAAATTATGCTAAGAAACACATAAGACCTACCCTCGGGACAAGTCAGATAG